TCTTCATAGTTTCTTTTGCTGTGCAAAAACATCTTAATTTGATGTAGTCCCATTTATTTATTTTTTGTTTTGTTTTCCTTGCCCAGGGAGATACATCATAAGAAGTATTCTTGCCGGGACTAGTTTGGCTCAATGGATAGACTGTTGGCTTGGGGACTGAAGGGTCCCGGGTTCGATTCCGGTCAAGGGCATGTACCTTGGTTGTGGGCATATCCCCAGTAAGGGGTGTGCAAGAGGCAGCTGACTCTCTCTCATCGATGTTTCTAACTCTCTATATCCCTTCCTCTCTGTACAAAATCAATAAAATATATTTTTTTTAAAAAAGAAGTATTCTTAAGAAATATGTCAGAGATTTCACTGCCTACATTTTCTTCTAGGAGTTTTATGGTTTTGAGTATTTCATTTAAATCTTCAATCCATTTTGAGAATTTTCTGTGTATGGTATAATAAAGTGATCTAGTTTAGTTTTCTTGCATGTGTCTGTACAATTTTACAACACCATTTATTGAATAGACTGTCTTTCCCCCCTGTACATTCTTCCTTCCTTTGTCATATATTAATCACAATGAGATATCACCTCACATATGTCAGAATGGCTATCTTCAATAAATCAACAAACAAGTGTTGGCATGAATTTGGAAAAAAGGAAACCCTTGTGCACTGTTCATGGGAATACAGAATGGTTACAGCCACTATAGAAAACAGTACGGAGTTTCTTTAAAAATAAATAAATAAAAATGGAGCCCTAGCTTGTTTGGCTCACTGGATAGAGAGTCGGCCTGCAGACTGAAGAGTCCCAGGTTTGATTCCAGTCAAGAACACATACCCAGGTTGCGGCTCAATCACCAGTAGGGGGGCATGGAGGAGGCAGCCAATCAATGATTCTCTCATCACTAATGTTTCTCTCTCTCTCTCTCTCTCTCTCTCTCTCTCTCTCTCTCTCTCTCTCTCTCTCTCTCTCCCTTCCTTTCTGAAATCAATAAAAATATAATAAATAAATAAATAAATAAATAAATAAATAAATAAATAAATAAAAATGGACCTTCCTTATGACCCAGAAATTCTACTTCTGGAGATATATATATAATTTGAAAGAATATATTCACCCCATATGTGCATTGCAGCACTATTTACAATAGCCAAGATATGGAAACAAGCCCATTAGTAGATGAGTGGATAAAAAAGTTGTGGTGTAGTGATGCCAATGGCTCAGTGGTTGAGCGTTGACCTATAAACCAGGAGGTCAGGGTTCAATTCCCAATCAGCGCATAGGGTCTCAGGCTCAATCCCCAGCAGTGGACATGCAGGAGGTAGCCAATTGATGATTCTAATCATTAATGTTTCTATCTCTTTTTCTCTCTCCATTCCTCTCTGAAATCAAGAAAAATATATATTTTTTTAAAAAACATTTAAAGAAGTTGTGGTATATATATTACGGAATATTTATTCAGCTATAAAAATATTTTAAATCTTACAATTTACAATAGCGTGAACCTTAAGAGAATTATGGTCAGTGAAATAATTCAGTCAGGGAAAAATAAATACTACATGATTTCACTTATATATGGAATCTAAAAAACAAAATTAATGATAAAAAAAAAAACACACACAGAAACAAACTCACAGATAAGCAGAGACTGATGGTTGCCAAAGAGAATTGGGGTTGGGAGACTGAATGAAAGAGGTAAAAGGATTAAGAAGGAGAAATTGGGCCCAGCATTAATTCTCTCTTGTCACTGATGTTTCTATCTCTCTCTCCTTCTCTCTTACTTTGTGAAATCAATAAAATTATTTTTTTAAAGAAGTAGAAATTGATAGTTATGAAAAAGTCATGGGGTTGTAAAAGATAGCATAAAAATATGATAATAACTATGTGTGGTGCTAGGAAGGTAATAGAAATATCAGTGGGAATACTTTGTAAATTATACAGTTATTTACCCACCAAACTATACAGCTGAAACTAATATAAAAATAATAATAAAAATATTTTTAAAGTATCTTGATAGTGTTCAAGTTCTGGTTTATACTTGTTTCTAATACTGAGCCATATTATTATCATTAGGTTAAGTGAACTACCCATAGTAATAAAATGTCTTTTGCTCAGACTAATTTGATTTGGGATTTTGACCTAAGCACTCAGCCACCTGGTAGAAGTTCAATAAATTCAGTATGTTCTAAAAGTTTTGGTGTAGTTTTAAGCATCAATGACTCCAGAGATATAAATGCCATGACTTAAAAAAGTAAAAAATCTGGCAGTTTAATTATTTCCACTTTCTTAACATAAAAGAGTCTTGTGAATTTTGAACAATAAATTTTGTTTCAATTTCTCTGACTGAATATAGAAAATGCTAACCCAAACAAAAAAATTAGCTAAAATTTTTTAATCTGTATTAAAAATGTTTAAATAAGTGCAAAACAAATGTATATAGTCAAATTGCAATGCTTATTGTAGTTCTGAATTTTTAAAGCTGAAAACTAAGACATTTGATACACCCTGCATTTATTTTAACAGAATATTAACAGCATCACATATCAAAGTATGAGGTGAGGCAGATGACTATTAGCACTTGAAAAAAATAGGCATTCAAGAAAGAGCACTAAAACCTTTAACCAATATGAACAATATAAAAGAGTTGTAAAAGAAGATTTAGAAAGAGTATTTCTTTGTAGAGAACTAACAGATGTCTTGGGCCCTAATCCAAACCCTTAAGGGAAAGATGAATACAGTTAACCTTATCTCAAACCTAGAAAGGCACTTAAACAGAATATTCAGAAAATTCTTAGATGTTATCTCTAGTTATAGACAAGGAAGGCAGTGACAATCAAGATCTTTTCTATATATCTTACCTTTCTTCTCTCCTTTTCCAAACACATAAAAACAGAAACCACAACTACTTAATGGGAAATAAAGTAATAAAAGAGAAAAGCCAGCCTGGCTGGTGTGGCTCAATGGTTGAGCATCAACTTATGAACCAGGATGTTACAGTTTGATTCCTGGTCAGGGCACAGGCCTGATTTATGGGTTCAATACCCAGTAAGGGGCATGTAGGAGGCAGAGGGCATGAAGAAACATCACTGATGTTTCTATTTCTCTTCCCCTCCCTTCCTCTCTGAAATCAAAATTATATTTTAAAAAATATAAAAGCTAAAAGCTAAACACATCTCCCAGCAGACTCCAGCTGGAATACTGGGATGGTGGAGGGGGATAAATCTTAACTTTGAATAAAAATTAAAATATTGACTATAATATATTATAAGAAATGTTAATTTTCTATTTAGAGCAGTGTTTATAATTTAAATGTAAATGAATTATTCTTTAAGAGTAATCAGAAAAGCCTAATTTTTATTTAGAAGCAGAGGGAAATTGGTCCAAAATAGCAAATATAAATGAATGCAAAGAAAAAAAAGGGGCTTTGTGATTTCATTCCACAATATGTATTTGTTTGTTTTTTTCAACATACCAGTTGTATAACTAATATAACCTTAGCCACCAGAAAGAACTGTAGGTCATCCACAGTGCCTTTGAAGATACTTCTTGACATTCAAAGAAATGTACAAAAGATATTCTAACCAGACAATTGTATAAAGCTTATTTTGACAATGACACAATTTGAGTTTGAAATTCTATCCTATAAAGTAATCCCTTCAGCTATTCTTTCTACAGCTTTCTATTACACCCAGGAATTATAAAACCAGCTGTAATTATCACCAATAGCCTAATGTGATGAGCTAGAATAAATAATAGTATAAATGTCTGTTTTAATACTATGGTCCAATGAAAATAATATTCATGAAAATTAACCTCCTCCTTTAAGAATGCCCCTAGCACATGTTACAGATTTCATCTGATAAAGCTGTGTAAGTTCTGACCCTGTCATTCTAACACAGAGAATTCTAACAAGGGGAAATGATAAATAAATTACATACCAATAATTTGGCTATTAATGAATACAAGCCTTTAATTCCATTATTAGCATTTTCCCTGGACTTTTACTACATTTTCTTTAAACTTTTCTATTAACTCTTGATCATTGGATTTTATAACTAGAAAATATGATCATGTAAAATTTCCCAATTTTTCAATGTTGAATCTAAATAAAAAAGTTTTAAAACATAAGTAATATGAACTCTAAAATGTTTAACTTTAAAACATTCACCTAAAAATAATTATGAATTTATAAATAATGATCAATAAGTCAAAACTATTTATATAAGTGATATTTTGTATTTTTGTAATTTTTTTTCTAAATTTTAAAATACACATAACACAAAACTTGTCTTTTAACCATTTTAAGTGTATAATACAGTTAAAATATTCATATTATTGTGCAACCAATCTCCAGAACACTTACATCTTGCAAAACTGAAACTCTATACCCATTCAACAAGTTCCTATCCCTCATTCTCCCCAGTCCCTAACAATCACCACTCTACTTCTGTCTCTATAAATTTTACTGCACAGTGTATCTCATATAAATGAAATCATAAAACTTTTGTCTTTATGTGACTGGCTCATTTTACTTAGCATAATATTCCCAATGTTCATTCAGATTGAACCATGCATCAAAATTTCCTTCTTTTTAAATATTGAATCATATTCCATTGTATTTATTTATTTCATTTCTTTATACATTCATTCATCACTGCACACTTGGGTTACTTCCATTTCTTTGCTCTTTGTTACTAATGCTACAATGAATATGTGTATATAAATATCTCTTCAAGATGCTAATTTCAATTTAGGGGTTATATACCCAGAAATGGAATTGCTGAATCACATGGTAATTACATTTTTAAATTTTTGAGGAATTATTTCACATTGTAACTATAAATTTTACATTCTGTGTGACTATAATTTTAAGTTTTAAAATTACATGTATCATAAAATTGATGTAAGGATACTAAATTTTAACAGTGATCTTATTTTCTTCTATTTCCAATTTTTCTAAAATAAATACGTTTCAGTTTTATAATTGGAAAAAATTATTTTAAAAGCTTACCTTTCTAACACATTTGACTGTTTCTCAAATATTTTCAACATGGCGTTCAGTCGATTTGGTACTGAATACGTAGTTTCTATTGTTTAAAAGAAAGAAAACATTTAAAGGTATTATAAATGACTGAAGTTTACCTCCATGGTGATATAATTCATTTCAATATGTGTGAAACTACACAAGCACAGGGAAGAGACAGCAGTGTCATATTAAGTACTCAAGAAACAAAATGCTTAAAACAAAAATAGTGCCATTTACAAGACACTATACTATTTTACATTTTCCTAATACTCAAACCAAAAAAAAAAAAAAGGAAGATACTATTGCCATTTGAAAATAAATAAATTGAGGCTCAGAGTGGTTATATAATACTAAAGGTCTGTGAAATTTGTGCATGGAGAAAGGGAAGGGAAGGGAATGGAAGGGAAAAGGAGGGGAGAGGAGGAGAGGGGAGGGGAGGGGAAAGAGAAGAGAAAATGAAGAGGAAGGGAAAGGGGGGGTAGGGGAAGGGAAAGAGGAAGGGGAGGGAAGGGGAAGGGGAAGAGAAAAGGGAAGGGGAAGGAGAAGAGAAGGGGAAGGGAAGGGGAGGGGGAGGGGAGGGAAGGGAAGGGAAGGGAAGGACCTAATTGTCCTTAACCTATCTGCCTGCCTGCCTGATCACCCCTAACTGCCCTCACCTGCCAGTCTGATCTCTCCCCTAACTGCTTTTCCCAGATGGCCTGATCACCCCTAATTGCTTCTGCCTTCCTGAACACCCCTAACTGCCCTCCTCTGCTGGTTTTGACTGGTCAGTTTCTATGCCAGTCAGCATCAAAAGCTCTGCCTCCTGGGCAGCCATTAGTTCCTCACACTTCACCCAAATTTGGTTCTGATTGGTCAGTGTCTATGCCAGTCAGTGTATGGCAAAGAAATGGAGGAATGGGTATTGGCATGTGGGGAGAGAAAAAGAGACAAATTCTGATCAATGGTTGCCACAGAGGCTATGGATTAGACCCTGCCTCTCTCTCTCTGCAGGTCTCTCTCCAAGCCTGATCCTCAGCCTCCTAGGCAGTCACTTCTGGGTTAGGGTGCTGGCAGTGGCCCAGTCAGTGTTGGATCACCATAGCAAATCAGCACTGACTTCCAGTCTGGTCAAGCCTTCAGCTTTAACAGTCCTTAGGACCTTAGCTCTTTATTGCATAGATGATCAAAACTATGCATCTATAAGTGACAAAAGTATAATGAGGTTCAGTGTGTGTCACTTCCTTCTGAAAGCTTATCTAATAAAAGAGTAATATGCAAGTTGACCATAACTCCAACACACAAGATGGTTGCCTTCATGTGGCCAAAGATGGCCACCCCCATGTAGACACAAGATAGCCACTACAAGACAGCCGGCAGGGGAAGGCAGTTGTGGGTGATCAGGCAAGCAAGAGAGGGCAGTTTGCGAGGGACAAGGCCTGTAGGGGAGGGCAATTAGGGGCAATCAGGCCAGCAGGGGAGGATAGTTGTGAGCGTTCAGGCCAGCAGGGGAGGATAGTTAGGAGGGACAAGGCCTGCAAGGGAGGGTAGTATGGGGGAACCAGGCCTGCAGGGGAAGAAAGTTGGGCAGGGCGAGTGGGGGGGGGGTGAAGGGGGGCGGAAGGCAGTTGGGGGAAACCAAGCTAGCAGGGAAGAGCAATTAGGGGTGATCAGGCCAGCAGAGGAGGCAGTTAGGGGCAATCAGGCCAGCAGGGTAGCAGTTAGGCATCGATCTGGCTGGCAGTGGAGTGGTTAGGGTGTGATCAGGCTGGCAGGCAGAAGCTATTAGGGGCAATCAGGCAGGCAGACAGGCAAGAAGCTGGAAGCCAGCAGTCCTGGATTGTGAGAGGGATGTCCAACTGCCCATTTAGGCCTGGTCCCCTAACTGTGTCCAGCAGGGGAGGATAGTTGTGGGTGATCAGGTTAGCAGAAGAGGGCAGTTTGGGGGAACCAGGCTTGCAGTTGGGTCTAAATGGGTAGATGGATATCCCTTGAGGGATCCCAGATTGAAGAGGGTGCAGGTTGGTCTGAGGGACACACACACACACACACACACACACACACACCTGTGCATGAATTTCATGCACTGGACCTCTAATTATATAAAAAAAGACTCTAAGATGCTTAGAGTACTGCTTTGGTTGTTGCAGCTAAGCCAGTAAGTTCTATGAGAAGAATTTAACAACCATGCTAAATTTTTCATCTGAATTAAATAACTCATAAGGTTACTTAAGATGCTACATAAAAGGAATCCAAGATAATGAGGATCCATAACAATGAACTCTTAGGGTAGTAATACAAGACTCTTCAATCTTGAAACACAGAATAATATGACAAAAAAAAAAAAAAACAGTCCCTGCACTGTTTTTGCTATATAAATAAGACATTACAAGTGCAAAGAAAATGTTAAGTAACATGAAAGCATACACAGTTCCTTTCTATCCATCAACATGAGATGTCTCTCCATTTACTTTATCTTCTTTAATTTCTTTCATCAGAATGTTTTACTTTTCATCATATACATCTTCTACATATTTAACTAGATTAATATCTTGGTATTGAGTTTTGGTGTGGATGCAAATGGTGTGTGTAAAGTTTCAAATTTTACTTTGTTTATTGCTTATATATAGGGAATAACTGCAATAAGAAAATTCAATAATATAAGATACCAGTTTCTGCCAATTTATTTTTAGATTTAATGTGATCCCAATCAAAATCCCAGCAAGTTATTTTGTGTATATCAAAAAACCTAAATTCTAAACTTTATATGGAAAGGCAAGAGATCAAGAGAAGCCAATATAATATTAAAGTATAAAGTAGAATAACTGACACTATCCAAATTTAAGACTTACTAGAAAACCTACAATAATTCAGACAGTTTACAAAAGAATAAATGAACAGATCAATGGAACTGAGTAGAGATCCCAGAAATAAACTCATACGAATATAGTCAACTGGTCTTTAGCAAAAGAACAAAGGCACAAAGGTTAGTCTTAATGGAAATAGATTAGTCTTTTCAACATATGAGACTGAACAAACTAGAAAATTACATGCTCAAAATAATAATAATCTAGACAGAGACATTATACCTTTCTAAAGATTAACTCAAAGTGAATCACAAATTTAAATATAAAATATAAAACTTCTAGAATATAAGATCTAGATTACCATGGATTTAAATATAACATTTTAGATACAACACCAAAAGCACAATTCATGAAAGAAAAAACTGAAAAGTTAAACTTTATTAAAATTAAGAACTTCTGCTCTGCATAAGATGCTTGCTAAGACAATAAAAATATAAGCTATAGACTGAAAGAAAATCTTTACAAAATGCATATCTGATAAAGCACTTGTGTTCAAAATATACAACAAACTCTTAAAACTCAACAATAAGAAAGCAAACAACCAGGTGGAGGAAAAAGCAGCAGAGTAGATGAAAGTTACATTCACCACCTCTCAAGACCAAGCTGGAATTAAATTATAGAATAATCAACATGAATAACCAACTGAAGACTAGATGAACAAAAGTCTTATGGCCAAAGACTTATAGAAGAAGCCACATTGAGAAGGCAGAGACTAAAGGAGGGCTAGCCTCATACCTATGTGTGGCAGCTGAGAATCCAGACATATATATCAGCTGCAAAGGTGTGGACCTGAGTTATGTAGGGTCTCAGCCACAAACCAGGCTCCACAGCCGAAAGCACCATAGCTAGAAAGAAGTGTCCATATCAGATATGGCTGTGAAAATCAGCATGGATTCTTTATGCCAGGGAGAGACAGACTCTGCTAGAAACCCAGGCACCCTCTTAAAAGGCCACTGCACAAATTTTATCGATAGCCACTCACCCTGGTAGAGGAAGGGTGTATCAGAGCACACTGGAGTTATTTGAAGACAGACTGGATTTTGTGGCTCCAGTGAGAATGCTAAAAGAACAGCAACCAAGATCACTGTGCCTTGTCACTCTCCCACACCATCATAGACATCATCCTTCCTCTATCAAGCATTCCTCTCTTTAAGTCCTCAGCTTGGGTAAATGCATTAGACCCAACCTCCAAACTCCCTGGCCTTGCCCCTGTTGAGTTCACACCCTTCAATAAGTTTGCTGCATAAAACTGTGGTGTACACTCTTTTTTTAAGGATGCTAAAGGTGAACTCAGGAGGAGTAAGAGACTGAGTTGTGATGCTAGGCCATTTCCCTTCATCCAGCCATGAGATAACAGCAGTTTCATGCCATCTATGTGACAGAGCAGCACAGGAGGGCAACGCACCCCAAGCAATCAGAGCAGTGGCACCCTTGTGCCAGAACATCAGCACCACACTCCCCAAACATGATAGCAGAAGTGTCCTACCCACCTGTGCACCAGAATAGCTGGGCCCCTTGAGACATATCACTGTTCTCTATCCCTACCCAGGATTCCCAGAATAGTGGCCCAGGAATTTCACCCCTGATGCCAGAGCAGTGGCACTCCACACTCCCAAAGTTGTTCCAACAGGCCCACCATGGAAAACCACAAGCTTGACCTGCCTGACTGCCAGTGCATGTCAAGCTTGACCTGCCTGACTCCCATCCTGCCTAGCATGCACTCTACAATAATGTCTGATGGGCTCTCACCAGCTTTGTCCCATTGTGCAGAAGACTCTTCGGGAGGTCCAGGCAGACTCTAGGAAAAACTAAGCCATGTGGCTATATCCCAAGACTCTTGGCCAGTGGCCTCAGACCCAGTTCTTGAATCAAATTTGAAACTGTATTAATCTGGTGAATATCACTCACATCCCTACCTGGTGATCACTGAGAACCTATCTCATGCAACTCATATGTTTCCAAAGGCTTTTTCAATAAGTGAAGCTAATAATCAGCTAGCATGTAGAAGCATATTTTGGGAAGCCTTGGGCCTTTTGCTGACCTGACCCTGGATTCCATACTTATAAACATGGGCCTTGGTGCAGAAATTTGCCCTTCCAAGCACACCCAGGCCCAGGAGAGGCAATCACAAACTGTGGATCACATTGTAACACTAAACAGATATCCCAGGGCCTGTCATAGGCAGCACCTGATATTCATCTGCACTGGAGCACCT